TTAAAATATATATTTGTGCTGATAAACCTGAGTGGTCTGTTGACTGACCTTTGTATCTGTTCAAATAATTGTTATGGGCAGGTTATAATATAAAAATATTTGTTATAATCATGCCTTGTGATTATTTGACAGGAGTTTTACTCTCAAAATGTAAGTGTATTTAATTTAGTTATAATGCAAATACAATAAAAATTAAACCAAGATTTAGAATAATTATCATTTTAATCCGTACATTGGTAATGTCTGACTGGGCCTCGTGTCACTTTATGTTCAATAAACTGGGCCCCGAGGTCAAAAAGGTTAAGAACCCCTGGGTTAGATCACATTCATACACCAATGGGGCGCACATCTGAGGCAATGAGGGGTCCGGTGTCTTGCCCAGGGACGTTTCGACATGTGACTGCATACTGGTGGAATCAAACCTCCAACTCTCTCATTTTGGAGAACTGGTCCAACCACCTAACCACAGTCGCCCATACATGTACGTCTGTCCTTTGCATCCCCGTCCAGATTTTTTGGCTCACGATGCAAACCGATTTTTTTAATTAGTCTTTCCGATCCGATAGCTTTATGTTTTTATTTCTTTCCAAGTGACAAGGTTGGTTGTATTAAAGCGAGCCCTGCTGTTCCCACCATGAAACATCCAGTTTGCAGATTTTATAAGACGCAGTTTCAGCATCATTGTTTTCCATTGAAAAGTGTTCCCACACTGTGGACATGGATACTTGTGTGTGTCTTGACTTCTTAATGACAGGTGAAATTCATTAATTTTAGTAATGACAGGCCTTTTTGTTTGTTTTTGTTTTGGGCTGCGCACTGTACCCTTACTTAAGCTGTGAAAAGGGCCCTCTAGAAAAGAAAACAAAACCTGTTGCTCAATGTGGATCTTTAACTTCAGACAGGACAGCCATGTCACCCAGCAGTAGCCCTGTCCTGGATGCAGACTGCCGAGTTTTACGCCCTTTACAAAGTGTCCAGCCCAGGCTGAGATTTGTGCCCTGGGAGGCATCTGATTACTTCAAAGTAAACATCTTCTCGCGGATTCCTTCAGACTTGTTGCGTTGGAAGAATTTCGAGCCGCGGGCCACATTTCTGTCGTGCTGAGCCTGATATAACACGCCCAGCTCAGCGGCAGTCAGAGCTGCGAGCAGCCCACACAACAATGAGGGTTATGAGCTGAACTTGTGCTGTAGGTCATAAAAGGAACAGTCAAAGGGAGGGGGGCGGGCTCACAAGACCCCATGTAAAACACGAAAATCTATCCACGGACACTAATTAAAACACACGAAGAAGACATATAGCGTCATGCTAACTCCAGTGCTGGGCTAAACACAGATTTATGTCTTGAGACGCAGAATATTTTTGCTCCGTCTCTGTGGGATGTGATGGTGGGGGGAGAG